CCAAAGACTTGCGAGGAGATCCCTTGGGAAAGACTATGTATTGACCTGATAGGTCCTTAAACGTCGGGGATCCTAAGAAAAGAATTCCTGCACACTTCATTCTTGACAATGATTGATCCCGTAACCGGATGGTTCGAGATTGCAGAGATCTGCTCCAAGGCAGCAGACGAAGTAGCCATTCGTCCTAGAACAAACGTGGCTTACTCGTATCCTGGCCTGCTGAGGTTTCATGGATAGAGGACGTGAGTTCCGCGCAGAGTCGAAAAGACACTCCGGGATGAATATGGACTCGTCGCAAGTTCATCACTACGCGTTACCCTCAAGCCAACTCATGGTCGAGCGTCATCAAACCATACGTAACTTGATGCTGTTCAAAACATCAAGTGCAAGACACCTCGTGAATGGATCCTGGATGGAGTCCTCACGGCGGTTCGCTTTGCAATGAATGCCACGATTCATACCACTTGCGCGCAACGCCCGCCAGCGTCGTGTTCAATCGTGACGCTCACCAATCTTTCAAGCAACTGGAAACATTAAGGACGTCGCCAACGACTATCCAACAAAACAACGATAGGGAAAAAGCGACGCGTGTCCTCATCAATACAATGTCAAAGATACCGTGATGATTCAACAGTTCAGCACCGCAAGTACGTCAGCCAAAGTACAAAGGTCCTTACACTATAGCCGAGTCAATGACAATGGCTCCGACATGCTACCGCCAATGGGGCACAGTCTACCAGACTGGAACATAAGGTATATACACCATACAAGGCCTGATCCCCTGTTAGGATTGCCATCGTGCGATGCAATGTCTACATCCAAATCTCATGAGAGTGCCCCGACTTTAAATTCATATGTTCTCCTTTCCGACTGCTGTCGCGCCTTTTGTGACCCTTGTCAGGGGGCGAATGCAATACACGGCTCTTAGCCTTATTCGCGACTCGATCCTAGATAGGTTTGATTCGACTCATGACTGAGTCTTCGTGAATAGTCATTTGAGACAGGGTTCTCATGACGCTCTAGTCATACTAGGTTGATGATGAACATGCTCTAGATATTTAGCCAGCGTGGAGTACTTCCACGCTACTAGATCCAGGCTAGACAAACCTTCCACGCGTTCCGTTTTAGGATCGTGGAGAGACGTAGGATTACTACCGCAACCTACTCTATCACACTTTATAGTCTCCCGCGGGAGGCCAGATCTACGATCCCTTGATGATGATCTCTCTCGTTGATTAGTTTTCATAGCTTTCTAATCTCTCTCATAACTTTCATTCTCTCAAACTCAAAACACTCGAAAGATCTTTACACTAGTTTTTAGCGTAGTGCAACCGTACTGTGGGACATGGTGCTGAATGATGGTGGCCCCAGAAGAGAGTGGTCGAATCTTTGGGGTTTGGCTGCCGCCAAAATGGTATAGTAAGACCCAAGGAAATTAGATATTGAGTGCAGATTGTGTACACGGGAATTTTGCATCCGGTAGTAGTGGTGCTGTGGCCAAAGAAAGCTATCATGTAGGGCCCAAGGAATTAGAAATGAACTGTTGATTGTACAAAATTTGCGGTCACAGTAGTAATAGTGGAGAAGATTTGATGACATTGGGAATTGAGATTTTGCCAGCACGGAAGTAGTTGTAGATTTGGAGGAGGAGCCATGCCAACGACCGCAGTAGGGCCCCTGGGGGCCGAATTTGACGGCTGATTCTGTATCCGTGAATCGGCGTCCCCTCAGGAGTGGGAAAGAACGACGTGATGGTATTGAGACAATTCCCAGGACTATCAGGAATTGGTGTCAAATTTTTGGCATTGTCCACAAAACCATTATCAAGCCATTTCGAGCAAATCCAAGCATCACAACAGCATCATACCTATTAGTAACGATCATCCTCTGGTTATCGAACCAATCGAACAAGCAACAACAGCTTATCAGCAACTTACTTGTCGACCGATCGATCACTGTGGGAAAAACAGTACAACAACCCAGCGAAACGGGCATTCTACTGGAAGGAAGCCAAACAACAAGCTTCGAGCGAGAGATAAGCACTCCCAGCTTAACCACAGTGGTAGCATCATCAGGAAACACATCCTACCCAATAGGATCGCCCAATTCTGATCACGGAAGGAAATCAAGCATACCAACTCAGTTAGCAGCACCAAGCAGCAAAATAACAACCAAAACCCTAACCCTATCACCCACCCAAAAAAACCCAACTCCCAATTCACCACCAACCAACATGAACTCTTCAGTTGACAATGATAACTCTCCGGAGGATGGATTTGAAGAGGTTGTGAGCAAAAACAAGAAGAACGCAACCGTAATGGCTACTCTGGTTTCCAAAAAGGCAAATAAGGTTGGAATCTGCTTCACCAGAGTTGGCGACAATAACTCATCTGCCTTCACCCAAGAGGAACTCAACAAAATCATCAAGTTGGTAGGAGAAGTGGACAATACTGCTGTGCTTATGCCATTCAACTACAACATCAACCAGGCCATCTCGATCAGAAAAGCCGCCACTGGAGATTGGGTTGCATTTGGAGATATAAAAAACACCCGCTGGGGAACCGACATACAAAACCAGTTCAAGGCTCACTTCACCATTTGGATTGCCTCAGACAGCATTGGCAGAAATCTCAGGACACTCAAAGAGCATCTTCCTCTGTCAGGATACCTCAAAATGGTCAACATTCAGATGAGACCTCACAATCTACGAGAAAGTGTTAGTAAGTCGGTAGGCTTCCTTTTGGGTGCTAAGGGCATTCTCTAGTAGTTTTCGTTCTAAAACTCGTCCTAAGCTACTCATCCTAAACTTAGGACGAGTGTTTAGGACGAATTGGCAATCTCTAAAAAAGTCGTTCTAAAAATCGTTCTAAATTTAGGACTAAGGTTAGGACGAGTGCAACCTCTAAAAAATTCGTCCTACCGTTTCGTCCTAACAGTTCGCTCCCTACTGTCAACGGCAATCGGCAATTTTGGCAGTCAGTTTCTTTCTTCTTTCTTTTCCTTCGCTCTGTGGCATCATCATGATGGCTTCCTCTTCACATTTTGGCTTGATTTGTAGCATTGATAGCTTGCTGAAAGGAGTAAAATTGACTTCACAATGGTGACCGTATCCGATCCTCCTGTTGAAGATTTCATTGACAGCCACAACCGTGCTGCCGAGAAGATTGCTGCTACCAGAGCCGCCGCCACCAAGAAGAAGAGTAACGATGATCTCTCTTCCGACTCTGAAGATGAGCAGCCTCCTCCTTTGAAGAAGGTGCGAGGAAAGGAGCCGACCGGCAAGACCGCCATTGACGATGACTCTTCTGAAGACGAAGAAAATGCAGATGATACCTCAGCAGAGGAATCCGATGAAGATGACTCCGAGGACGAGGAGGATACTGCAAAGAAGCCCAAAGGGAAGAAAGGCATGACCATTGCCTTCCCTGGTGGACGTGGCAGTGGACGAGGCGCGGCGGCGGTGGTGGTGGGTGGTGGTGTGGTGGTGGTGGTGGTGGGGCTAGGTGAGTGTCCGTGGTCGTGGTCGTGGTGGTGGTCATGGCCGTGGTCGTGGTCGTGGCAGTGGCCGTGGTCGTGGTAAGAAGAATGGTAATTCAAAAGCCAAAGCCAATCAAGACGACATCAAAGCTGAAGGAGAAGCTAAAAAGAGGGATGCAAAATATGACAAGCTTGATGACTACTGTCTTTCCCGTGCCGTTGCGAATGTGACATGCAATCTCAAGAAGGGATCCAAGGAAAAGGGCAAAGTGTACTGGCAGAACATTGCCGACAAATTCGAAGAGATCCGTGCTACGGATTTGCCCGACAGGCCCAAAAGGACTTGGGAATCTTGCTACAACCGTTGGACCCGGCATATCCTCAAATCAATGAATCTTTTCATTCCTTGCTACCGCCACGTGAAGAAGAATCCCAAGTCTGGCTGGGCGAATGAAAAAGACTTTATTGAAGCTGCGAGAGAGGAATACATGGACAAGCATGACGCTGTATTCAAATTTGAACCGTGCCTGGAAGTATTGAAGTCCCTTCCCCGTTTTGATCCAAATTTGACGGCAGAGGAGGCCGCCAAACAGGAGGAACGCGTCGTTGAATTGGCCGATAGTGGCGATGAAAATGGAGCCACGGAACAGCCAACAACCGGCAACAACACGGCTGAAGTTGCTTCTGTCATGGGCTCTACTATCCCTCGGCCTCTCGGTACCAAGGCTTTCAAGGAACAGCAAAAGAAAATTATGTTGGAGGGTATCTCTGATGAAAAGAAAGTCCAAGCCATCGATCGGTTGACTGCTGCCCATAAAGAATTCAATTCCATTGCAGCCGAGAGAGCCACCGTCAGTGCCCATGTTGGCTTTGCGAAATTCCTCAAAGACATGGGTCGAATTGACGAGGCCAGCAATGCGATGAATAGAGCTATGAATGCCCAGATGAAACCCTATTCTGAGTATGAAAATCTTGGGAAACTCGATCAAGCTGAGGCAAAGGCTGATGATGAAGGAGCTGCAGACGAAGACGATGTCGATACTTTGCCTCCCTTGGGCAGTTCTGGTTCCGACACCAATGGTACCGATACTGTTACTGGTACTGATGTTTAGAGATGAGAGTATTGTTGCCGTAGGATCTAATAATTATTATAATATCTAGTTGTTGCCAAAGAACTCTCTGCTTATACGCTGACACTCCGCAGTCAATGCCTCCTGTAGGCGCTCATGTTCGTCAACATCTCTAACCTTTCTCCACTGGTCTCTACGAGTAATTCCTTCAATTTCCACATTCGATCGTCCACCCAAGCCAATTGCATTTGCGGGATTGGCACCATTGCCATCCCGACGCTGAATTTCTTCCCGGTCAGGTGGGGCCACTACGATGGGATTCTCTGTCTCGAAACTGTTTGTAGGATCGTACCAAGCCCTGGGATCACCATCCATAACTCGGTCAGCCACACCCATATTGTGCAAAATGAGACAAGACGTGACAGTCCTTCCAATCAAGTCCAGTCTATGCTCCATCAACGGATGCGTCATGTACTGAAATTTGGCTTGAAGGATTCCAAAAGCCCGCTCGACATCCTTGCGGCAAGCTTCCTGCCAACGAGTGTATGTCCTCTCAGCTCCCGTAATTGGTTCTGTGATTCCTCGAACAAACCGAGCATATTGAGGATAAATTCCATCGACTAGAATGAATACTTGGTTGAAGGACTTTCCGTTGACTGTGTATGGAACCGCATCTCGCTCATTGGCTTCAAAGGTACCGTGGACCATTGCCTCCAGCAATGGAGACAAATCTAAAATTGTTTTGTCATTGAGGGTACCACAATAGCCAAAGGACGCATGCCAAAACCAACAATGGAAATCGGTTCCAGCCTCCAATACAATGGTTGGTTTTCCTTTGGCCCCTAGGTATGATCCTTGCCAACCAACAGGACAATTCTTCCAATGGCAGTGCATACAGTCAAGGGACCCAAACATACCATCAATACAATGTGCTGCCTTGTGGCACTGTAGGATCTTTTTGATGTCGGATGAGGTGGGAGTGCGAAGGTATTCATTGCCGTAAAGGCGAGAAATTGCACGGTCAAATTTAATACAGGCATCTCGTGTGAAGGTTGGCGACATTTGGAAGTAATCCATGAAACAGTGTGTTGCCACACCATATGCACAAGTCTTCAGGGGCAAAAGAAGCCGGGCCTCCAGATAGGATCCTTTCTTGCCGGTATAGAAAGGAATTCGACTATTGCCAAAATCCTCTAGCATTCGTTGGAAACGGGCAAGGGAACAATGGAACTGAAGTTCAAATTGTTTGTCATTAAACAATGGAGAAGGACCAAGATAGTCATCCTTGATACACTTGTATGCTCTCTTGTGATCATATTTCTTCCTGGGTCCACGAGGTAAAGTGCGGTGATCAAGCAACCGTGGCAACGGCTTCAGCATTACCAAACAGAAGGTCGACTGCGGCAGCTGAATCCGACTCAAACATTTGACTAGCTAGTGTACTGTAATTACTGTGTGGTTGTGCTGTTGTGGCTGCTGCAGTGCTGTTTTATGGCTGCTGCTGCAGTTTCACTGGCTGGAAGAAGCCTTTTCAGCCAAGACGAGTTTTAGAACGAGTTAAAAATTTCGTCCTATTCCAGGGAAATAGGACGAGGGAAAAAAATCGTCCTAACTTTAGGACGAATTTTTAGGACGACTAGGAGTTAGATGTTGCTTTCGTCCTAAATCTTCGTTCTAAACTAGAGTTAGAACGAGTTTTAGGACGAACGAAAGTATTAGAGAATGCCCTAACCCAGAGAAAACTTACCGCATTGGAGTTACTGCTGACCCATATGGGCGACAAAGTGCCACCTTTCAATGTTCAACGCGCAACTGTATGCTGTGGAACCACCAGGTCTGACACATTGTCCATGTTTGTTGGTGAGAAAGACTTAAACAGAGTAACAGAGATTCTCAAGAAACATCCCTTCAAAGGACCCCAGATCATCTTCAGTGATACCAAATCCAACAAGGAAGACTTCGAGAAAAACCTTAAGGTCAACAATGAAATCAAGAAAAGGTGTGGAGCGATGAAAGTGATTGGAGCAAATGGTGACATCATTGAAGCACTCAAAACCGTGGCAGAACAAAACAAAGCACTCAACATCATCCACATCTCGACCACAAGCCACACCAAGGACACTGGAACAATCTATGTCGTATGTCTCATGGACAAAAAGGATGAAGTGCATTAATTCATACAGCAGTCAATCCAAAATCATTGCACTAACAATCCCGACATCCAAGCAGCCACCAATCATCGTTCCCCTTATTCGGGATGATCGCACCGTGCAGACCCAACAAACCAGAGCAACAAAAGCAACCACAATCGCCAAATTCGACTTTCTTCTGTCATCGGCAGTTTCAGATCAAACCCAACAAAATCCCATGAACACCACACGCCCCTCCATTCCGACAGCTATAGTAGCCACCAACAGTTATGCCGCGATTGTAGCTGGAGCCAAATCCAATCAATCCGACAATGAATCACAGAGCAACCATGAAGGAGATGCAGTATCACATATGACCAACTCTGATGCAGCCAGTAGCACCAACACTGCAAAAACAGAAAGAGAGCAAGAGTTGGAAGACACCATAGATGACCTGGTGAGAGAAAAGAATATCTTGAGAGATGTCAACAAAGCTTTGCAAACAGAGTCAAAGGAGATCAAATCGACCTTGAGCCAAACTCTCCAAACACATGCCAAGGAACAAAAGGAGCTACAAGAACAACTGCAAGCAAACATGGAACAGACAATGCAACAAAAACTGGATGAGATGCAACAACTGATGCAACAACAGATGGTGATGATGATTGCAGCAAGTAAAAGCACCACTGAGTCACTAGCACACAAGAAAAGTAGACGTGATGCTACCCCGGGTGCCAATCAGCAACACATTCAGCAGACAACTCACGATGTAGACATGGATCCAAATGAAGGACAAGAAACGAACAGCAATGATGAAGCTACCACCACAGAAGACATGACAGGAGTTGCTAACCTGGATGACAAATTTGCAGCAGTGGAAGAACACGACAAAAGCAACATCAGCGCCCCAAGCACGGGCGGTGATGGAGGGTCCTCATAATTCCAATGGACAACAATCCAAATGATGCAGTGGGACATACCTTGACAATACCCAAAGATCTTACAACAACACGCTTTTATTACATCAATGCCAACAGAATCAACATAAGCAGACAGGGGGGGTGGTTCAATATGTGTGAGACAATGCAAGATATGCAAGTCGACATTTCGATGTTAGTGGAAACAAAATTGGACACAATAAAACAATATGTTAGAAGCCGACTTAAGGAGGACGCGACACAATCATTCGGGCACAAGGATGCATTCAAATTGAATGCCCACTCCACTCCGATCAAAGCCGACAAGTCCAGGAAACCTGGTGGAATCTTGCAACTTACAACAGGTCATCATCAGGGGCGAATTATGGACCAAGGCAAGGACGAATTTGGAAGGTGGGTGTACACGACATATAGGTGCAAAGGAGAGTCTCCCAGGACAGTCATCACAACCTACCAAGTGGTCAAAACTGATCCATACACAAGTGGGCCAACAACATATGCAACCCAACTCTTCGGCCTGTACACCAAGGAAGGAAGACAAGAACCCCACAATCTACGCAAACATCACGCAAATGATTTGGTTAGCTTCGTCCAAGATCTTCAGTCAAAAGGGCATCTGGTAATGGTAGCAGGGGACTTCAACACGGACCTAGGAGAGGAAGAGGGTGGCTTGGATCATCTATGCTCGGAGTGCAATCTCATTGATCCCATTCTGACAACACACGGAGCAGCAAACTTCTCAACTTACAACCGTGGAAAGAACATTCTGGACTACATCTTGATCGATCCGGAACTGCTCCCAACAATTGTTCGATGTGGTTATGAAGCTTTCCACGCTCATGTGATTAGTGATCACAGAGGAGTTTACATAGATGTTGACACAGACTTGTTTTTCGGGGATGATCCACAGGTGTTGGTTAGAAAACAAGCAAGGGACATCATCAGGTCGTTGTCGTGGGAGTCAGGGTCAGTCCGTGTCTGAATCGAATGCGGGATTCGGCAAACTGTATCCTGATGCCGCTTCAAACCCCAGTCGGTCTTGCACGTTTTTAAGCAGTACGGGCACATGAATTTGACCATCGTGCGTGTTTATTTTGTGCAACTGGAAAAGATTTGAGGGGTGGCCAAAGTTTTTGCCTTGGATAAAGCGCAGAATGCGGTCAGGTCCAAGGGGCATAAGGAAAATGAATGCCGATTGCGAAAACTGTTTATAGCTTGGTGCACAAAGAATGTGCCCATTTGCATGTTGAAGCAGGCGCACCCACAAGAATCTTGTTCAATAGTAAAGAATGTTCTGTTCTCCATGCACTTTCGTTAAGCATATGCGTAAACACTAGTTGTAGCCTTGCTTATTATGACGCAATGTACCGTACGAATCTATAGGCAACATCAAGATCATTTGACGCAAAGCTGAGTTAATAGTAGGCACCTGCATCGGACTGTAGAGGCTCTTGCACAAGACCATCACGCACAAGCACACTGGTAAATTGGGTGGCTAAAATGCGCTTCTTAGATGATATTCAAGAACCTCTTATCCTACTAATTGAAGACGATCGACTCAGGCATATACAGATGCAATTGCAGCACAAGTCATTGGCGTAACGGTTACAGAATGTTGAACTAAGTGTTCACTATTCCTCTACCGAATTCCGTTCCCCTTTCTATACATGGCTTACAAGTTGATGCACTTTGGGATGCTAATTACAGAAGGGCAGTTGTAGGCTATTCCCCAAGCCCCGGAATCCAAAACAGCTCAGCCATTCCTTCCCAAATGAAAGAGTCCTAGGTTACTAAATCTATAAGTAGGGGTTTCCAAAATGGAGAAAAGCAGTACACAATGTTGGATATGATTGGGGCTAAATTCGTTATGGTACTACTAATAACAGAGTAGTGGAGGTAAGCGAACCAATGACATAATGTTCGTAGTAAAAGGGGAGAAACAGGTCACTCATATGTAACCAACTGTAACGGTACGGGCATCCATAGGTCCGAGAAAAGGGTCCAAATGATCCAAAAAGGACGGCTGGGCAACCAAACAAGGACGCCATAGGTAACAAAGTCGTCTTGGAAGCCCTGCTAAAAGGGGAGAATGAAATTGAAGAAAGTGGAGGAAGCCACCAAAGCCTGGGTAGGACCCCACAAATGATGGGGTCCTAGGTTGGCCAAGGGGCAACCTAATCATCAATCTCATCAAGATTCACACTGGACTCTTGGCGCTTGCGCTTCTTCTTGGAGTCCTCAGTTCCAGCATCGACACTATCAGGAATCTTGTAGATGTCCTTGCGCAACCGAGCAAGGATGGCCCGCTCCACCAATTTAGCATGGTCCTGGCTCTAGATTCCTTGACAAGCTTCTGCAAATCCTTGAAGCGGCGAAGCCTTTATCACCCCACCCTCCAAAAGCAGAAGACCAGCCTTGGAACTGGAGTACCTCCCTTCATAAACTCCCTCCGGATCATCTGCTTTGCTGGACGAGGCAACTTCACGTCCAAGGTGAAGCATTGGTAACCTTGAAGTACTCGTGCCACTTTCCATTGGTAGCGTTGCCTTCATTGTCCACGCACCTGGTTCCGCTGTGTACCATTCTCGAAGGCGAGGGCAGCAAATGCTTCCGAATTGGGAGGGAAAGCCTCCAAACCATCAACCCTGGCTCCGAAATGATGTAGTTCTTGCGAACTGCCTTCCTCCAAAGCTTGGATGCACCACCAGCCTGAGCAAAGAGCAATCCCACATCCATTTAGCAACAAACATGGTCGCTCATGCTGTGCCTTCGCACCCTCAGTGGCTCCTCTCCAGGTGGCAACAAGATGGCATCCGCTTGATCACCTTCAGACCTCAATCATGGTTGGGAACTTTTCCACTCCATGTACCTTGACAAGCTTCTTGACATGCTCAAAGATTCGGTTACAAACATAGTTGCGTACAACATTGAGGGTCTTGACTGCAATAGGTGACCAGAGCTTGATGAACAGTTGCGCTTGGACTTAATACCTATGTCCGTGGTAAGGGCAATTGCCAGCTGTCGCTGTTGACAAACTTGAACCTCCGCAGTCAGTGTTCTTGATTGCCGTCTTCATCTCCTTATCATCGGAGCACTTCATTGGTGGTGACAATAAAATGGACATCGTCTTTGGCTACCGATTCTCATCAGGAGCGTCCTCAATCGTGCATGACTTTAAATCTGTCCCTAATTTAGGGTCGTTTGGGGAATCTGTCCCTAAATTAGGGCTTTTTCAAACCCGACCCTAAATCGAAACCCGACCTAAGGGACGGTTTCAGAAACCGTCCCTATTTTAGGGTCGGTTTCGAAACCCGACCCTAATATTGGTGCGTTTTCAATGTATTTACACTCAGTCCCGTTTCATTTAGGGACGTTTTCAAACCCGACCCTAAATCAAAACCCACCCTAAATTAGGGACGGTTTCAGAAACCGTCCCTATTTTTAGGGTCGGTTTCGAACCCGACCCTAAAGGGAATCCGACTAAATCCGACCTATTTAGGGTCGGTTGCATGCACGATTGAGGAACGCTCCAGTAGCATCCGAATCAGTGTCGGTTCCTTCCAAACTCAGCTTCTCAGTCTTTGGCTGTTCCTCCTCAAGCTGCTTCTGCAATGCTATAACCTTCCTCTCAAATCAGCACTCTTGCCCTTCTTAGCTGGTGACTTCTGTGGGAATGCGAAGTACCGCCCTTTCCAATGCAGCACCTGCTCCATTGCGACCTTTGACTTTCTTCTTCAGCGCCTTCTTGGCAGCAGCGGCACCTTGGCAGCCGTTCGTTGCCTACAGACTCCATGTTGTTGTTGTTGGAAGTCCTTTGAGATGCAGCTGATAGACGACGAATATCCCTACCTGCGTGAGAGCTTTCGTCAAGGGAGTATCCGGTGACAGAGGTGGAGCAGATTGTTGTCGTTTTTGCGGTGCTTTTTGCGGCGTTGGTTCCAGATGCACGAGACTGGGTTCCCGATTGTGACGCTGGCTGGCTGTAATTGGGAGGCACTACCTTGGGATCGGACAGACTGCTCACCGAACTGACGTGCTGGGCTTCCTTTCTTCTTGGTAGGTTTTGTGAATCCCTATCGTTCGCATCAAATCGTCTTCCTCGTCCTCGTCGACACGCCTTGTTCCTCTTCTGATTCGTCCGCGTATTCTTCTGTTTGCCTCCAATACCTTGACTGTGCTCCTCCGCAGTACCGTAGACTTCCGCTTCGTCGTCTTCGCCCTCCGAAGCAGTCTGCTCTCCAATAGCTTTACCACGCCAAGAGAGCCAAAGTCGACCAGTGGAAGGAAGATGACAACAGGAGGAAATGGTGGAAGAATGTAGTGTTAGCAAGGCAGAGCTTTCGCTTTTCAGAGGCAAACTGTCGAAATAATGAGGTTGAATGGCGCACACAACTCGAGGTATCGACTGCGATTTGGATGAGGGCATACGACTGGAGAGCTTTGCCATCGTGGGTCTCCACGGTTGGTGCATACATAAGCGATCTTGGAAGTCGATACTTAGCACCAAACACACGTGTAATCAGTGGGAGTAATGGTGAAAAATGATAAAGAGGGAGTATCCAACGACAGAGCCGTCGGATGCACATGGGATTGGATAATACACATACACGTACACGTACCTTCAGTCATTTGCTCTCTTCTTTTCAGGTATTCGATATGCACCTTGAGGCCTTCGTCTGGGTGTTTCGCCATTGGCTCTATCGTTTCTAGTACTTGCGTTGGCATCGACAGTATGGAAACTATGTCATTGTGTTGCTCTCTGGTCGGAAGTTTGTTCCCCTTCCACCAGGGCGGAGCCCTCTTGCGCGCCATTCCAGCAGGAATTCGAATTGGATTTGTGACCTAAAGCTCACCATTCGGTAACCTATTTGACAGTACTATTAAGGAAATTTAAAGTGAGGTGACATGCGTTGGCACGAGCCAGCGGTATATTAGTATTCATTGCTGTAGATATTTGTATATTGATTTTGGTTTCCCTTTTTAAAGGAAGGTGTCACGAGTT